GGGTATAGGGAATTCTGAATTTACTGTTGCAACTCTTCTATAAATCTAAAAGTATTTCAAAATTGAAAGTTAAAAAAAGTCAAAATGGGGGGCCGGGCGCGGTGGCTCAAGCCTGTAATCCCAGCACTTTGGGAGGCCGAGGTGGGTGGATCACGAGGTCAAGAGATCGAGACCATCCTGGTCAACATGGTGAAACCCCGTCTCTACTAAAAACACAAAAAATTAGCTGGGCATGGTGGCGCGTTCCTGTAATCCCAGCTACTCAGGAGGCTGAGGCAGAAGAATTGCCTGAACCCAGGAGGCGGAGGTTGCGGAGATCACGTCATTGCACTCCAGCCTGGGTAACAAGAGCAAAACGAAGCCAACATTGCATGGCATTAATGTTTTGCTTATAATAGCAAGCAAAATGTCTGAAGAACATAGCCATAGTTTTAGGTATTAACTTGCAGATCAGAGGATTAGAGAAGATACTAAACTAGAAAGATGTTTGCTTTCCAGCAGGGCTAGGCTGCATGTAAGCCTGGCAGAGAGAGAGACGAATGCCCAAGTGATTGTTTTTATAATGCTTTCCAAAAATCAGATGCTGATGTGGATAGAGTCTTATTATTTTGTGTTGTGGCAAGACTTCTGTGTTTGCAGAGTGGTTGACGTGTATGGAATGCAGATGTTTAATAAAGGAATGAATGAATTTGGTTAGTATAATGAAACATGAAATAGTCCATTTCATTTGAATAAATGGCAGTAAGAAATAAATCCTGCATTTTTATATTTCATCCCTCCCCCCCACATTTCACTATATGCATTTAGGCAGAAAGCTGCAGACTGGTAAAGCAAGTTATCCATATTCCTGTGAAGAAATTAAAAGGCTCTTAAGTGTCTTTTCCTGCCACTTCTTAATTCTGACAGTTATTAACTTGTTCAAAGATAACTGTTTTTGACGTGCCAGTGAAAGACGTAAGGGTGGCGGTTATCAATGAAGGCTTGAAGTAGTTAAACTTGGTTTCTATTCCAGTGCTGCAAATTAGTAGCTAGCTGTATAACCCCTGGCAAAGTACTTAACTTTGTACCCCCACTTTCTCCTAAAATAAGGATACTTCATAGAACTACTAAGAAGAAATTATCTTCAGAGAACTTAAATCAGCTCCCGTTACATAGTAAAGCACTTTTAAAAGAGGTACAGTATATTCATATAGCAAACTTTTATCAAGCAGCTGTTGTCTGCAGACGGTATACTGAGAGGGCTGGGAATACAGACTGTCATCCCCCATTCTCTGCTCCCAAGGAACTTAGTCTAATGGGATAGACAGATGAATAAAATAATAAATAATAATAGCAATGACACCTACTATGACTACCTACTATGTTTATTGACTACCTACTATGTTTCAATCACAATGTAATAACTATTTATATTAATACAACAACTTTATGAAATGTAAAATTGTTCCTGTTTTTCAAATGAGGAAACCAAGGCTACAGGAAGTTAAGTAATTTATCCAAGATCGCATAGCTAATAGAAAACCCAGAATTTGATCCCAAATGTGCCTGACACGAAAGTCTTCTTTAACCCATTCTTCAGATGATTACAAATAGTGTTTGGCAGGGAGCAGTGGCTGACACCTGTCGTCTCAGTACTTTGGGAGGCTAAGGCAGGAGGATCACTTGAGCTGAGGAGTTTAAGACTAGCTATACAACATAGTGAAACCTTGTCTCTACCAAAAAAAAATTTTTTTTTTCAATTAGCCAGGCATGGTGGTATGAGTCTGTGGTCCTAGCTACTTGGTAGGCTGAGGCAAAAAGATCACTTGAGCCTGGGAGATTAAGGCTGCAGTAAGCTGTGATTCATACCACTGCCCTTCAGCCTGGGCAACAGAGCAAGACTAGTCTCAAAAGAAGTTATAAATACAACATTTAAAGTGCTTTGACAAGGTTATAGAAGACCTCAGCACATGTAATATTGTAATAGCTTAGTGACCTTGCTTTTCAGTGTTTCTTTTAATATTCCTTTAGACCCAAGTTTTAGATTCATATTACCTATAGAAAATAGAAATAGCTACTTAGTACCACTCCTCTCTTAAGTGAACAGGAAGCTTTCTTTGTGCTAGATTTGTAAAGCAGAAGTTGAAACTGGGCTACCACAGGTCCAGAGAAGCATTCCTGGCTCTTGTTCTCTTGCCTCTGAAGATGTAGCATGAGAGCCTAAGGCAATGAAGAGGCCAGGCTGCCTTCCTGACAGGCCTCTGTCCCATTCACTCCTTTGAGTTTATTTCACCCAGTATGGGAAGCTCAGAATGAAGTGGCTTTTCAAGGGCTCCTGGAGACATTGAAACTTACCAGTGAGGCCGGGTGCAGTGGCTCACGCCTGTAATCCCAGCACTTTGGGAGACCAAGGTGGGCAGATCACAAGGTCAGGAGTTTGAGACCAGCCTGGCCTACATGGCAAAACCCCATCTCTACTAAAAATACAAAAATTAGCCGGGCATGGTGGCATGTGCCTGTAATCCTAGCCACTCAGGAGGTTGAGGGAGAAGAACGGCTTGAACCTGGGAGATGGAAGTTGCAGTGAGCCGAGATTGTGCCATTGCACTCTAGCCAGGGAGACAATGCAAGATTCTGTCTCAAAAAAAACCTTACCAATGAGCCAGGTGTAGTGGGTCATACCTGTAATCCCAGCACTTTGGGAGGCCAAGGCTTCAGCCCAGGAGTTGGAGACCAGCCTGGGTGATACAGCAAATCCCCATCTCTACAAAAAATACGAAAATTAGCCAGGTGTGGTGGAGCACACCTGTGCTACTCAGGAGGCTGAGGTGTGAGGACTGCAGTGAGCTGAGATCATGCCACTGCACTCCAGCCTGGACAACAGAGCAAGACCCTGTCTCAAAAAGAAAAAAATAAAACAACCTTACCAATGCTATTTAGAGGCACTAAAACTCATCCTGTGATTATGGTTTAAAGTGCAGCAATTATTGTATGTATTTCAGGCTTTCTGAACACGCATCCCAGAGCTTCTTGTGCTACTTTATCCTGTGGGTGAAATTAACATTTGAACATAGTCCTTGACTCATTTAACATCTAGTCCTTGACTCATGAGAACATCTAGTTTTTGACTCATGGGAACATCTAGTCCTTGACTCATTTGAGAGTATGTTTTTTCTAGAAAATTAGAAATATATATCTGTATGTGTCCATGTGGGATATGACGTGTTAGGAGTGGTTAGTCATAGAGGTGGTATTGTGAAGATAAGGCCTTTCTGACAGACATTTTGGAAAGTGGACTGTGGAGCTGAGCTGAGGTTACATTGTAAAGAGAGAACTCCCTGGCACCCCTTTGCCTCACACTCCTGGATACCAAAGGCAGACCACAGTGTTATTCACCAGTTTAGACTGTGTCTGAAGCCCTTTCTCCAGATGTACCCTCTTCTCTCTCCTGAACCCTTAAGCTCCCTCTAAACTTTTTCTACCATCCTATCTACTTTCTTGGGACCTTTTTCTCTGAAAGGCAACAGTTGGTATGGTTTCACAGGAGGAGAGCTGACCTTTCACGTCTACTATGCTCTGACATTTTATATTCTTAATCTCACTTAATCCTCACAGCATCCTATCTGGGTAGGTGGATTATCCCTATATTTATAGATATGGAAAAAATAACTTTCCTAGAGGACTTGAAGCTTGAAAGTGACAAAACTGGAAATCAGCTCTAGTTCTCATAACTCAATAGTTGTACTCTTCCATGGAGCTGTGATGATGCGGATTGTTACTGTTGTTACTGTTGCCACTGCTTGCCACTAGTTTTTATGTTAGAGAGCTAAGAGAATGCTTTGCCTAAGGTGTACCTGTTTGTATGGTCTCAAGGTAATGGAGTGAGCTTATTTTAACACATTGGGCCCTTACAGCACCTGCTGACTAGGTATATTTATCACTTTACAGATGGGGAAACTAAGGCTCACAAAGACTCATCCAAAGTCACAAAGCCAGTCAGTCTCTCTGGCAGTGGAGACTCGATCCAGTCTTCCTTGAGGCATCTCTTAAAGCCCACTATGCATGCAATGCTGCACTCCAGTTGGGTGGAGAGTCAGTTCCTGTCACTGAGACAGTACTCTTCAGTCAGGAGTATGTAGCAACATAAGACAGCATGAGTATAACTTAACGAAATAATAGGAATTTGTTTCTTTGGTAAGAACATGAGACTATAAAGGCTTAGCAAAAGGGTATACACTTGCATTTACAACAATACTTACTAAGTTTTTAAATGCATATTGAAGGCCTCTGAGTAGTGTTTCCAGAGTACATTCTGTGTATCAAAACTGTAGATTCAGTATAGCTAAGATTGTAAGGAGAAGGCCATTAACTGTTTTGAACTATAATGCCACTGCAATGTATAAATTAGTAAATAAGTAATGGTGATGGGTGGCTTGTGGCTGGGCTATATAGCTATCATATGTTAATGAGCTATTCAGATGGGTATCTGCCTAAAACAGGATATGTGGACCCACACTTAGAAGGTTGTTACTTACGAAACACTACACTCAGTTGCCTTAAAGGGTAATGTATCTGGGGTAATGGCAGCCAGTCACTCAGTTGTGTTTAGGTGAATATCTTAGAGTTTTACTCATTTGTTTCTTTCCTTATAGACCATTTAAGATAAAGAGCTCTTTAGCAGTCATTGGGTAATTGAAGTTCTAAGATTATTGAATTCTAGTTGGTGGTCCACTTTAAGGCTGATTTTCTTTCAGCCTTAACACTCATGATATAAAGTCTTACTCTCTTTGGGAAGAAAACTTGATTCATTTACACATTTATTCAGCAACATTTATTGAGTACTTACTATTTGCTAGTCATTGTGCTAATGCTAGGGAAACATCACAGCATAGATGCCATCCCAGTCCTCACAGTAAATAGTAGTCATATTGTTAATATAGCACATTATAAAATTTATTACAGAGAAATGCAGTATAGTTTGAGAGCATAGATGAAAGTAACATTTATTTCCATTCCAATAGATTTCGGTTTTGGAAATTTCTTTAAAACTGGTGAACTGCTGGCAACATGGTGTGGCAGCCCCCCTTATGCAGCCCCAGAAGTCTTTGAAGGGCAGCAGTATGAAGGACCACAGCTGGACATCTGGGTACTGCTTTGCTTTGCTGTGTTGTTAAATGCATCTATAGTGATAATACTTGGGGCTCTGGCCCATCTTAGAAGCTCCTGGCACTTAACACATAGGCAGTATTTCATATTTTCCCCATCCTCTGAACTATAATTAGTCAGAGCATCTTGAAATGGATCCCTAGGAAAAAAATTCTAAGGATTGGTGTTATCATCGTAATATCAGCAGTAATTTAAAGTTAAGTAGTAATCAAAATGATCAGATTCAAATTCTTTGGTATCTGCTATAAGATACTTATTGTAGTAGTCAGGGTTTTGGATTTTTTTCAAATTCTGAGAAAATAATAAATTCAAACAGGAATTTTTCAGTCCATATGATTTCAAGAGCCCTGAGGATGTTCAGGAAAACAAAGAGAGTTTGACCTTCTTGATAGAAAAGTCTCTGCATTGTTTTCTTCCCTAGAGTATGGGAGTTGTTCTTTATGTCCTTGTCTGTGGAGCTCTGCCCTTTGATGGACCAACGCTTCCAATTTTGAGGCAGAGGGTTCTGGAAGGAAGATTTCGGATTCCATATTTCATGTCAGAAGGTAACAAATTGTTCATCTTACTAATGGTGTTTTACAGTGTTTGTGCTGCAAGTGAAATGCCTAGGTAAAAGTTTCTTTTTTTCAAAGAGTTTGGGTGCCAAATAAAGTGTGACTGAGTCATCTTAAAAGCAATAGAAATAAGCAACCTCCTTTATGTAGGTGAGACAAGTTCCAGCCTTTACTTGCAACTGAACACAGAACATTTCCCAGATTAAGAGCAGCATGTCTTCTCATTCATTCTGGGTCTATAAATGTCCCAGGTTTATTTTAGATTTAACGAAGCCCTTTGTAGATACAGATTCATAACCATTTTACTCCAATATGAAATGGATTTTATAAAATTAAAATTTTTTTAATTAAATAAAAAGCCAACTGGCAAAACTCTGCTAAATTCAAATGATATGCCATAATCCCTGCCTGTCATGTATTGAGATGTTACCTAGACAGCAGTTAAGTTTACCCCTTAGTTTCATTTTTGGTTATCAGTCTTAACTCTTCTTTCTACTAACAGTAGAAATAATAGTCTTCATAGTTAAGAGCATGGTTGTGAAGCCAGACTACCATACTGTCTGGTTTTCATCCTGAATCCACGAGTTACTGGCCATATGAGTTTCACAAGTTTTATCTCCTCTTTGTGCTTCAATTTCCCCATCTATAAAATGGAAATAACAATAGCTCCTATCCTAGGGATATTATAAGGTTTAATTAATCTGTCAGCCAGGTGCGGTAATTTATACCTATAATTCTAGTGGTTTGGGAGGCCAAGGTGGGAGTATCTCTTAAGGCTAGATATTAGAGACCAGCCTGGACAATATTGCAAGACCCTGTCTCTACCAAAAAAAACAAATTTTTTTTTTTTCAATTAGCCAGGTGTGGTGGCGTGCACCTATAGTCCTAGCTACTCAGGAAGCTGAGGCAGGAGGACTGTTTGCAGTGAGCTGTGATTGCATCACTACATTCCAGCCTGGGCAATGAGACCTTGTCTCTAAAAATGATAATAATTAATAATAATCATAATCATAATCAATAACCATAATCTGTGTAAACCATATGATTATGGTTATTAATATGGCTATCATCCTCCAGAATGAGACCCTGTCTCTAAAAATAATAATAATTAATACCCATAATCTATGTAAAGCACCAGTATAGTGCCTGGCTTATAGTAACAGGAGGTTAGCTTATGTGTGAGTGAAGAGAATCATGTCAACTCAGAGAATATGCTAGTGCTCAAAGTTGCAGCAGTGTAGTTTTCTTGGTATAATCCAAAGTAATAATATTTTACATACACTTTTCTTAGCTGCAGTGATGTGGAGGAGAGCAGCAGCCCATCGGAGAGCTCTTTGCCTCTCCTACATAGCCTTAGTATATCAGCATTAGGTATGACCAAGGATCAATTTATTATTTGCTTGTTCTAGGCATGAGGCTTATTTTCATTGCTTTGTGAAATTCAGTACAAAGTTTTATTTAGCCCAGAATCTGATAGACCTACACCCTCTTCTTTTTCTTATTTGTTCACCATGTGAACTTGACAAATATAAGTAGCCTTTGTGTATTCATTTATTCATTTGACCTTCCATTTTCCAGTAGAAGATACAAAGATTAACAACCTTGTACAAAATCACATGAGTCCAGTAGATAACCCTGAAGTGCAAGGTGATTTATGTGACTTTTGTAACATTATGTTTTCTGTAGATTGCGAGCACCTTATTCGAAGGATGTTGGTCCTAGATCCATCCAAACGGCTAACCATAGCTCAAATCAAGGAGCATAAATGGATGCTCATAGAAGTTCCTGTCCAGAGACCTGTTCTCTATCCACAAGAGCAAGAAAATGAGCCATCCATCGGGGAGTTTAATGAGCAGGTTCTGCGATTGATGCACAGCCTTGGAATAGATCAGCAGAAAACCATTGAGGTAAAGTGATCAGAGATTTGACTAAAGGTATTTCAGGTTCTGCTGCACTTAGTTACTTGAAATTTCATGCTCACACCTGTCATCCTGGTCTTTTAGCACATGTATCCCCAACGCCTAGGCGTACTGTCCCGTGTTCCCTATTGATGACATCAGACTCTATTTATATTTGCTTTTATCCAGCTTCTTAAATTCCTTTCTTTGCCCCATCTGCCAAAATATTCAAGAGGAGGCATTTATAAAAGACCCAGAAAAGGCATAGATGGAAGCTTAACAAATACAAGGTAGAAAGTTTCTTCCAAGATGAAGCATGAAGTTTTACATAGATATTTAACTAGTTTCTATGGAATGTAAATGTGCAGATAGGCAGAGGGCCAAGCAGGAAACAAGAAGGGTAGGTATCAGGTTTAAGAAAGCCAGGGAATTTAGATTGTGAACTGGAGAAACTAAGAAGGCAAAAACAGGTGGGCTCCTGATTTGGAAGTATTAGGGGTCATAGAACTGCAAAGGTCATGAACCTGGAAAATTCCTCTTGGCTTTTATTTCTGTCCTCGAATAGTTAGCATGCTTATAGGATATACATATTTCTAATACTGCTACAATAGTAAAAAGACAAATGGTGCTTTTGAGGAAGAAACCTAACAAGAAAGAATATCAAATGCCGCCTTTTTTCCTGTGAAAGACCAAGGCTCCAGACTGTGCTGCCTTCCCCCAACCCACGTAGCCATAAGTGAAACTAAGCTGACTCTGCTTTGCTCACTGTGCGCTCAGTGATGTTTTGTGGTACTTGTCCATGAAGAATATCCAGAGCAGTAGCTGGGCGTGCCGATTACACTGACCTGTGATTTTGCTGAGAGTGCTCTGCGTCCTGGTGCTCTGCACAGCACGCATGCTGACTGTCAGGTGGAATTGGAAGCCAAAGGAGCAGTTGTTTCTCTGTTCCCTCTGGGAAAGCTGGCAGGCTAGAGATGGGAACATTTGGGAAGCGACTTTATTTTCAAGGTTTTAAGAGGGTGGGACTGCAAAAACAAGAGGAAAAAATTACCTAAGAACAGAGACACAGTGTCTCTCAATTTAGCATCCAGATGTCATTCTCCAGCCCAAAATAATCATCAGAAAGTTCTCCACATACTTGAACCATTCACTTCAGAGTTTGCAGTCGTTCAGATTTGTGTTGAAGCTATGGAATTAGAGCCTCGGGCTCAGGTTGCTGATTGACCTTACCCATTAACAACTATGAGATGAGGCCATATGACAGCACTGGGGAATGTCTATGTGACGGCAGAAAAATAAATGGATCTTGTTCATGTAAAAGGGCTGGTCAATGTACTTAAAGGGATCATCCTTTATATAATTAATTCTAGGACTTGAAGTTTTCTGCCTTCCAGTCTCAATTTTGGAGCAGCTTTCATCTTGAGGCCCATTTTGGTTTTCACCCTATTTTTAAGAACACAGTTTCTTTCCTTTTATTTTTTTAGGCATGTATAGATCATTGCATTGGTCTTTATAGTTGTCTTTACCACTTGTTTTTTCTTTCAGTCTTTGCAGAACAAGAGCTATAACCACTTTGCTGCCATTTATTTCTTGTTGGTGGAGCGCCTGAAATCACATAGGAGCAGTTTCCCAGTGGAGCAGAGACTTGATGGCCGCCAGCGCCGGCCTAGCACCATTGCTGAGCAAACAGTTGCCAAGGTAGTGCCCCCTTAGCTGACAGTCTTATCTGTGCATGTGCCTGTTCACATTTGACAGATTTTTCATCTTAAAGTCCAAAGGGTTAGGATTTCATCCTCTACTGTCTGTTTTTCTGTAAAGTTTCTGCTTGTCAATTCACTAGATTCTCAAATGTTTTAGCACTTTCTCATTTTTAAGATTTAACTTTATTTCAAGCAGTTTTTTAAAAGAGGTGTTTCTCTTTTTTGTCATTTACTATGTTGAGAATTACTGTAACTAGCCTGTACATTCAATTCCATTTAACAGATTTTTATTGCAGATTTACCACACATGAGCTTCTATTCTTAGACACTGTTGGGGGTAGGATATGTAAAATACAGTCACTGCCCTCAGAGACATCATGCTATAGAAGTGAAGTAAGATGAGATCATAAACAACCATCATTCAAAATAGGGAAAGATGAGTGCTATAGCAGAGCCAAGGACCGGGGAGGGGGGCACATCTGAACAGGGGAAACGGTGTGTAAGACAGATCTCCACAGATGAGTGGGACTTGGTGAGTGTGAACAGAAGCATTATTGGAAGAGTTTTGAATGCCAAGGTAAAGAGTTTACTTATAATTCAGGAGACAACAAAGACGTGCTGAAGGCTGCTAAGCTGAAAAGTGATATAATTCTATCCATGCTTAAAGCTAATTAATCTGGTAGCATTAGGAAGGATGGGTTAGGTAGAGAAAAGAAGAAATTTGGAGAGAGCAGTTGGGAGAGTTTTATAGTAGAGACGAGAAATACTGATAGCTTAAACTAATTGGAAACTAAACTTTAATTGGCACTGTTGGAAATAGAAAAGAAGGGGCAAGTATAAGAACCGTTTCAGAGGTAGACTGTATGAAGTTAGTGGTTTGGAGAGGCAGCCCAGGGTGGTGGTTAGAATCAGGGACTCTGGAGCAAATCCCAAATTCTGCCACTTCCTGCTTTGTGACATTTTAAGTTTCTTAAGGTCTTTTTGTGCCTTGGTTTCCCAAATGTGTAATGGAAATAATAATAGGATACCGTGACAATTAAATTAGTTAATATTTGTGAAATACTATATGCCTGACACATAGTAAGTGCTGTGTAAATGCTTGTTAGATAAAGATATAAATAAATGTTGGGGAGGAAGGGACAACAATTTAGAGATGACTCTGTTCTTAGCCTGGGCCTGAAAATATAGGGGTGGCATGAACTCAGTTGCTTAGGAGGAAGATGTGGATCTTGATCCAAGGAGAGAGGCTGGGACTAGAGATTCGGGAATTATCCATGTAGAGGTTGAGAAGAATCGTTGGTTAGTATGCTCTATTGACATTCCTGTCCACTTCTGTGTGTAACTGACTTTGTTCAAAGTAAAAATAAGGGCAGAAGACTTACTTTTGTATTTCTTTGGCAGTTTTACAAGACTTACAGGAGTATAATAAAATTTTGCATTGACATCTACAGAGTATGTTTTTAAAAAGGAAATTAAATCTTAATTTTAGTAGGTAAATGGTATATTTTATTATGCATACTTTATATATAAAATGTGAGTATTGATACAGATATGAGTAAAATAATGTACGATATAGTTCCAGACACTTGAGTTAGAGTATCTTTGAGCACTTGGAAATCTTCAAAGTTGAGTGGTATTGCTTTCAAGACAGAGAAAGGAGAGAAAATGAAAAACATGTAAAATGCCATGGAACCCCCTCCTTCTTGCAAATACCACTAGACAAAAGGATAGGAAGCTGGAAAGCCCCCAGGGCAGCAGGCTTTCCCTGCCAAGTCTCTTTATTCTTCTTGAACATTATACAAGTGAGGGAGTGGTGAGGGGTTACATAAACAGTTGTTCCTGAGCACGTGCATATGTTATTGTACACGATATCCTTTCATGTCTAGACTATGAGCAAATTCCCTAGGATATCTCAAATTTTATTTAATTTGGCTTAGAGTTCAAATACGTAACATGGCTCTTATGTTCGATAACTTTTTAAATTACTAAGCACTGTTTGATAACTTTTTAAATTACCAAGCACTCTGTGTTCTTTTTACTTGATGCATTGACCCAAGTCTCAATGGAAGCTACTTAGTGTTACTGAAAATGCATCTACTTCAAATGGAATCTTTGGTGCTCAGTCACATGCTTGCCTGAGAGCCTTCTGCATGCGGAGCAACAGGCTCCCTCCCCTCAGAGATTTCACATTTTGAGTTTTAGTGTTGAACTTGTTAAAAAATGGATTTCGGTTTTTATGGATATAAATGTGCCTAAAGTAAAGGCTTCTCACTTTAATTCTTTTGATGTTCTAATTTTTTTTAAAGAAGTGGCAAATCACTTGTTTATTGATATGGTAGCAAGAAATTGAGAAAATAACGTGATTCAGTTAATACAAAGTTAACATGAGCCATGGAATCATGCAGACCTCAGGTTCCACGCCAAGCTGAGTGAGTTCTGGCAAGTCAGCCTCTTTGACCTCCTGTGCCCGTAAATTCAAAGTGGGAACAGCAATATGTACTTTGTTAGATTGCTACCAAGATAAAATTAGTTAACGTATACCAGGAGTTCAGTTAGGCAAATAGAGCGCTTATGTGCCAGGCACAGTCCTAGCCACTGTGGCTTCGGAAGTACACAGGAAACAGTCCCTCGCCTTAAGAAGTTCATAGTCTAGATCTCTACCGGCTGGATTTGATGGTGTGATGTCTCACAGGAAGTTCTCCGCTCCCAGACATGGGTCCCTCGGCTTCCTGCCTCGGAAGTGCAGCAACAGGCATCGTGGGAAGGGGAAGAGCTTCCCCAAGGATGACCCTTCCAAGCTGGTCCACCTCACAGTCTTCCTGGGATACAAGGCTGGCATGACCCATATCGTGCAGGAGGTCATCCAAGGTGAACAAGAAGGAGGTGTTGGAGGCTGTGACCATTGTGGAGATGCCACCCATGGTGGTTGTGGGCATTGTGGGCTACGTGGAAACCCCTCAAGGCCTCTGGACCTTCAAGACTGTCTTTGCCGAGCACATCAGTGATGAGCGCAAAAGGCATTTCTGTAAGAACTGGCATAAATCTAAGAAGAAGACATTCAGCAAATACTGTAAGAAATGGCAGGATGAGGATGGCAAGAAGCAGCTGAAGAAGGACTTCCACAGCATGAAGAAATACTGCCAAGTCATCCACATCATTGCCCACACCCAGATGCACCTGCTTCCTCTGCACCAGAAAAAGGCCCACCTGACGGAGATCCAGGTGAATGGAGGCACTGTGTCCGAGAAGCTGGACTGGGCCCGTGAGAGGCTGGAGCAGCAGGTACCTGTGAACCAGGTGTTTGGGCAGGACAAGATGATTGACGTCATCGGGGTGACCAAGGGCAAAGGCTACAAAGGGGTCACCAGTCATTGGCACACCAAGAAGCTGTCCTGCAAGACCCACCGAGGCCTGCGCAAGGTGGCCTGTATTGGGGCATGACATCCTGTCCATGTGGCTTTCTCTGTGGCACATGCTGGGCAGAAAGGCTACCATCACCGCACCGAGATCAACAAGAGATCTATAAGATCGGCCAGGGCTACCTTATCAAGAACGGCAAGCTGATCAAGAACAACGCCTCCACCGACTATGACCTGTCTGACAAGAGCATCAACGCTCTGGGTGGCTTTGTCCACTATGGTGAAGTGACCAGTGACTTTGTTATGCTGAAAGGCTGTGTGGTGGGAATCAAGAAGCGAGTGCTCACCCTCCGCAAGTCCTTGCCGGTGCAGACCAAGCAGTGGGCTCTGCAGAAGATTGACCTTAAGTTCATTGGCACCACCTCCAAGTTTGGCCATGGCCGCTTCCAGACCATGGAGGAGAAGAAAGCATTCATGGGACCACTCAAGAAAGACCGAATTGCAAAGGAAGAAGGAGTTAAATTCCAGAAACAGATTTTGCAACTGGTGGGGTCTCAATAAAAGTTATTTTCCACTGAAAAAAAAAAAGTTCATAGTCTAGTTACAAAGTACCCATTATGGCTGGGCACAGTTGTTCACGCCTATAATCCCAACACTTTGGGAGGCCAAGGCAAGCAGATCACTTGAGCCCAGGAGTTCAAGACCAGCCTGGGCAACACGGTGAAACCCCATCACTACTAAAAATAGAAAAATTAGCCAGGCGTGGTGGCATATGCCTGTAATCCCAGCAATGTGGGAGGCTGAGGCAGGAGAATCACTTGAACCCAGGAGGCAGAGGTTGCGGTGAGCCAAGATCACGCCACTGCACTCCGGTCTGGGTGACACAGCAAGGTTCTGTCATAAAAAGTAAAAAATTTAAAAAATTCAGTACCCATTGTTATTATTTAGACAGCAGTGGGATTCCCATTTTAGATCTGGAGTGCTTATGTTTGCTGTATAACATGCAGGAAGTATTAGATCTAATTGAATTCAGACTATTTAAAAAAATATGTCGTATCTTTTTCTCATAAATTCTAAACACTAGTTGGTGGGGTTTGGGGGGAGGTTTTGTTTTGTTTTTGAGATGGTGTCTCACTGTGTCACCGAGGCTGGAGCACAGTGGCAATCACAGCTCACTCTAGCTTCAACCTCCTGGGCTCAGGCAGTTCTCCCTTAGCTTCCCAAGTAGCTGGGACCACAAGTGCATGCCACCATGCCCAGGTAATCATTTTTTTTTAATTTTTTGTAGAGATAAGGTCTTGCTGTGTTGCCTAGGCTGGTCTCAAACTCCTGGGCTCAAGCAATCCTCCTACCCTGGTCTCCCAAAGTGTTGGGATTGCAGGATCTGATGAAGGTCACACAATTTAGTGAGGCACCACACCTGGCCTAACCACTAGTTTTTAACAGTTCTTCCACTGCAAGTTTCCATCATCTGTAAACAAACAAGAATGAAATAATTACCTCCAATTCTTAAATTACTGTTTAGAGTTTGCCCTTCACAGCTATAGGAAAGCGTTGGACTTGTTTGCTAGGGTTGCCACAACAAAATACCGCAGACCTAGTGGCTTAAACAACGGAAATTATTTTCTCACAGTTCTGGAGGCTGGAAATCAGGATGAGGGTGCCATGAGGGTTGCTACCTGGTGAGGCCTCACTTCTTGGCTTGTAGCTGGCTATCTTTTCACTGTGTCCTCACATGGCTTTTTTTCTCTGCCCAAGTGTGGAGAGAAAGATCTCTGATGTCTCTTCTTCCTCTATGAGGACACCCACTGTGTGTGAGCAGGGCCCCACCCTTAGGACCTCATTTAACCTTAATTAACTTCTTCAAGGCCCTGTCTCCAGATACAGCCACATTAGTGGTGAGGGGCTCAACTTGTGAATTTTGGCAGGACACAATTCAGGTCATAACAAGTATTTACTTATTGGGATAGTAACAATTTTCCCATAGGAAAGAACGTTATTGTCATTTTAATGGTTCTGGAAAGCACAAAGTCCAAAGAAGAGATTCAGAGCAATAAACATGTGTTCTAAAAAGTTATCTCAATTGGTTGGACATAACCATTGCGTACTGACACTCTTAAAGAATGTCTTGACCGGGCGCGGTGGCTCACACCTGTAATCCCAGCACTTTGGGAGGCCATGGTGGGCGGATCATCAGATCAGGAGTTCGAGACCAGCCTGGCCTGCATGGTGAAACCCCATCTCTACTAAAAATACAAAAAACTAGCGGGGCGTAGTGGAGTGCACCTGTAGTCCCACTTACTCGGGAGTCTGAGGCAGGAAAATTGCTTGAACCTGGCAGGCAAAGGTTGCAGTGAGCCGAGATCATGCCATTGCACTCCAGCCTGGGCAACAGAGTGAGACTCTGTGTAAAAAATAATAATAATAAAAATAAAAAGAATATCTTGATAATATCTGCTTTCTTGGGATATTAATTGACCATATATTTATTTAATATGTGCTAATCAGCTGTGTAATGCTGAGCATGCCATTTGTATATTTATACCGTGTCTTGTTCCAAAAAGACTTCCTTAGTCCTCTCAGTGATTGCAAGATTCCCAAAACCCACCATATTTCCTAGGAAGTGATTGCCACAACAAAAAGCATTTTTCCTTTATCCTATCCGTTATTCCTCTAACCAGGTTCACAGTCAGTTGTAGCAGTCCAGATAGGATGTGAAAGCTATCAAGGACAACGTGCTGTACTTGGTCTAGCACAGCAGCGTCCAGCCATTTAAAGCGTCCGAGCTAGTGAGAGTCAGGGACTGAGAAGGAGCCTTGTGTCATAGTTAGCACATGGGCATCTCATTTCCATACAACACCCTTGGTCATGCTTTGCCCTAATAATTTAGACTGCTTCATAGAGAAGGAGCAGTGTAATAAAGTTGGGAAGTAGAAATCAATCTTCAGTTTCCTCCTTTGATTGAAAAGCTAATGATGGGGTTAAGAATAATGTAGCAAATATACTTTAGTGGGAAGTTTAAATTTTACACAGTAACTAGATAAAAATTTTACATAGTAGCTAGATAAATTGATTTAAATTCCTGATGTTTGAAAGGAAAAAGTTGTTTAACCTCAGAAGTGGCACACAAATAAGTTTGAGGAATGACAATACAAGGAAAGCGATTGCCTTCTCACACTCTGAATGGCATGCAGTTTTTTGTTTGCGTGTGTGTGTTTGTTTGGGGGCATCCATACCATATAATGTGACTTTATTCTTTATCTTATACAGTATAGCCAATGATAATAATATTGGAATATACCAAACATAAAGTATGTTGAAAATATATGCAGAATATATTCAAATATAAAGTATATTTCTAACACATCCCCTCATCCTTGAAAACCATCAATCTGAGATTCTAACTGGAAACCATTAGTATCTGAGAACGAGACTGCATTCATTTGCAGTCTAATTCTTACATTCTTGTGGTCAGTTGGAGGCTTTAGAAGAAGAGGAAAGAAAGAATTAATGTTACTGACTTAAGCACATCACATGTTACCTTTTACAATCCTGACTTCACTGTGAAGTTGGGATTGTGCTCTTTCATAGTTGAAGAAGATAAGTTTCAGAAAAGTTAGGAAACCTGATTAAGGTCACACAATTTGTAAGTGATGGAGCCAGGAATCAAACTCAGGTCTTGGGAGAGGAGAAGCTAGAATCTCATACCATTTTGTCCCTTTGATTTGTTTGAATTTAAAATTCACCATCCTATATCCCTTGAAATAACTATAGCTGGTAAAATATAGCCGTCCTTCTGCCTTTTTCAGTCTCATATGATGATTGTTTTCTCAGATGTTGTGTAGTGTCTGTTATGTTCACAACACATTTAATAAATTATTCTGGTGGTTCTGAAGGATGGTGATGAAAGGATCATTCAGCAGCTTTAAAATCAATCTTTACCAATTGTTGTAAGGAAAGATTCTCTTTTAAATGATTTTTTAAAAGAAGCATTTGTAATGCTTGTTTCCCTAGAGTAGTTAACAAAGGAGACATGAGAACAGACTTCAAGCCATCAGGAGCTTTCTATAGTAGGTTGCCTTCAAAAACATAGCTTGTAGTCAGCGTCTCTCCTTCCACTGGGCCAGCAGGCTGAGTCCAGGCTGTGCATCTCCTTGAAGGAAGGAAGATGTTCCTATCACCCCAAGTGACTGCTGCTTCCCTTTCTTCCTCTTTGCATACACCCTTGCCAATAAATGTATCTCATCTCACCTACACCAAAAAGGCGGGTGGGGTGGGCAGAGACAGCACTGACTTCAGCGTCCCTTGTATTGTAGTTACTTGTGGGGGTGTGTGTATATCTGTCCCTGGTTCAATTTTGAGCTCCTAGGACTTTTCTTTATCTGTCTGGGTATTATATTTAAAGAAAGAGACAAATAGGTTTGTTGAATTGAAATTAGTAAGATTCTTGATTCCTCACAAAAGCTAGCTTTCTTGTCACCTGCGTGAAAGTTAAGCATCCCCTCAGGAGGCAGAAATGAAATTCTTTACAACCTCGTTCAGAGTAACGGATTGCTGCGTCTGCTTCACTGCCTGCACCATATACACGTTTCACCAAATCTTTCTGGAGTTTCCAGTAAATAAATATTCATTCTTTAATTGCCACCGGAAGAATTATTGTATTCTTAGAACTTTGTGTATTTATAGAGAAGATATTCATGTTCCCAAACTGTCTGTTCTTGCCATATTTACAGGCACAGACTGTGGGGCTCCCAGTGACCATGCATTCACCCAACATGAGGCTGCTGCGATCTACCCTCCTCCCCCAGGCATCCAACGTGGAGGCCTTTTCATTTCCAGCATCTGGCTGTCAGGCGGAAGCAGCATTCATGGAAGAAGAGTGTGTGGACACCCCAAAGGTACAGCTATGTTTAGATTCTCAGAGCTTGCAGTTCGGCGAGAGATTTCACTTTGGTCCACAAGTGTTGTATTTAGCTTTACTGAACTTTATAATTTCCTTACATCACTTGGGAGTGATGTTTCTGTGGAGAAAAGCCTGATGTTTCTGTGGAAAAAAACCTAAGAACAGGAGACAGGCTCAACTCTTGTCAGTGTCTGTCATTTGACATTACATCATTTGTCAGACCTCGTGGACTTATGTCTGAAAATCCCTCCTCATCTTTTCTCCCTAATTCCTTCTCTCTTCAAGTTTCCAGATCTCTCACAAGTGTTTGGGCTTTTTTTTTTTTTTTTCTCCTAACAAACTAATTCTGAAAACAAAAAATTAACTTTCATGCCAAATTGGGCTTTGTCTATTTGATTACTATTGCCTATCTTCTGCTTAGAATACTTTAGGTACAAAATGATGGGCCAGTTTGGAAATATTTAAAAGTTAGTGTGCTGGGCCAGGTGCAGTGGCTCACGCCTGTAATCTCAGCACTTTGAGAGACCAAGGTAGGTGAATCACGAGGTCAGGAGTTCAAGACCAGCCTGGCCAATATGGTGAAACCCTGTCTCTGATAAAAATACATAAATTAGCCGGGCATGGTAGCAGGCGCTTGTAATCCCAGCTACTCGGGAGGCTAAGGCAGGAGAATCGCTTGAACCTGGGAGGCAGAGGTTGCAGTGAGCCGAGATCATGCCATTGTACCGTAGCCTGGGCAACAAGAGCAAGACTCTGTCTAAAGAAAAAGATATAAGCCGGGCGCGGTGGCTCAAGCCTGTAATCCCAGCACTTTGGGAGGCCGAGGCAGGTGGATCACGAGGTCGAGAGATCGAGACCATCCTGGTCAACATGGTGAAACCCCGTCTCTACTAAAAAGTGCAAAAAATTAGCTGGGCATGGTGGCGCATGCCTGTAATCCCAGCTACTCAGGAGGCTGAGGCAGGAGAACTGCCTGACCCCAGGAGGCAGAGGTTGCGGTGAGCCGAGATCGCGCCATTGCACTCCAGCCTGGGTAACAAGGGCGAAACTCCGTCTCAAAAAAAAAAAAAAAAAGAAAGAAAAAGAAAAAGATACATATATATATATTATGATCATTCCCTTAAGGAAGTATAAATCAGAATGAGACCAGAACGAGGCAGGGCAAGTTGCTTTTAGCTGTTTGATCAGGAAAGTCCAGGTTAACTGTCAGAACTGGGAATTAAGAGGCAGGTATGGTGCCTCTTACCAGGATGGTGATTAGAAACTGGGGATGTGGCATGATGTCTACAGTAGAGGCAAAACTAATAAAAGCAAGTACTAGGGAAGCCTAAGTCCATCTCCGTAGTGGGGGGTTCAGATGGTCTGTGGAAAGGGCATATGCTGGGAAGCTGTGTGAAATAAAGATGAAAGAGGTTAGCATTGAATGGCAAGCCAAGAAATTTAGATGTTTTCTCTAAGCGAGTGCTTTCAATGTGGGGATAGGTTTCAGTATCAGTTGAAACAACTGAAGGACCAATTGTTAGCGTAGCAGGAGACTGTTGAAGATATTTGAGCAAGGAAGCTCTGTGATCCATGTTGCACACCAGAAAATCAGCCTGCAAATCACACTGTGTGCACCGGAGCACGAGAGAGACTGGTGACCAGGAAGACAAGTTAGAGCGTGTGTCCAGAAGGGAGGTGATGGGGCCTGAACTAGGATGATATGGCCATGAACCCAGAGGGGAGGGGATGACAGAAATGAGATGCTGTCTCATTTCTGATAGAATATTGAGGTCTAGGGAGAAGTCCAAACCAATAACAAGATTTTTAGCCTAGATGGAGGGTGAAAGGAATGGGGAACTAAAGGCAGGGCAGAGTCAAGAAGGCTGACCATGAGTTCAGCCAGGTGTCGCCCGCAGCAGGCAGCTCGGTGCGAGGCTGCCACAAGCCGATGTGGAGCAAGTTGTTGACCACGAGGATTTAGCATCTGGGCCCCTGAACACAAGTCCACTGCCTAGAGGCTGTCTTTCTTCCCTGCCTGTGGTTGCTACTACAGTCCCACTCGGAAATTTAGACATAAATTTGGGCAGTGTCATTCATTGATTTTAAAGATATAATTCCCTCAAAAGAATTAAAATGCTGTTGACTGAAGGCCTGTGTGTGAGGGCATCAGGCCTAAAACACAGATTGGGCACTGACTGCTGTATTATATAGGGCAAGCTATTTTTAAAGCTTGTGATTGTTACCATAGCCAGGAAACAGGCAGGAAATGAATGATTTTGCAAAAGATATACACAAGAGCTAGATGGTATATGTGCATTTGTAGGAAGAGCAATGCCACGCTGGAGCTGGCCACCCACACAGGCAATGCCATGCTGGCACTCAGCCAGGCCATAGACATTCTCCGGGCTTCTTTGTGGACTGTTTTATTTATGTCAGCAAAACTGCTTGTCCCTCTTCCCTCCCTAGGATCTCTTTCTCGGGGCCCATAAATAAGTACATGCACACACAGAAAAACTGTCAGAATAGAGACATGGTTCCATTTTTATTGATACTGCTTCCTATGCATTTACTGTAACACCCATTTGTTGTTTTCTGATTGATGCCTCATAGCTGCATGTCATTTCTCCTTTCAACTGAGGACAGGTATTGTGCATCTCAAAGAGACTTCAGCTCTCCTTTCCTCCCAGAAACCTTCAGTGCTTAAAACTGTCAGTAAAATCCCTTAGAGAGTCTGAATGGAAACTTTGGTTTGCAGTTTCAAAAAAAAATAGTGCCTTTCTGAGATAGTCGCCCAACTCTAGGTAAGAATGGTTGATCAGGCACTCCAAACAGGAACTGAGATCCACAGGTGACATGGCCATATGGGAGGGCAGATGCATAAACCCTGCAGAATAAATCTTTCTCCTTTGAGTGGTTTTTTTTTTCCTCGAAACAATGAATTTTTTATACACACATATACACACACAGGAGTCATTTTTAGCTTTTTTTTTTTTTTGAGACAAGGGTCTCACTCTTGTCACCCAGGCTGGAGTGCAATGACTCAATCTCGGCCCACTGCAACCTCCCGCCCCCTGGGTTCAAGTGATTCTCCTGCCTCAGCTTCCTGAGTAGTTAGGATTACAGGTGCCCACCACCACACCGGGCTAAGTTTTGTACTTTTAGTAGAGACAGGGTTTTGCCATGTTGCCCAAGCTAGTCTCAAACTCCTGACCTCAGGTGATCTGCCTGCCTCGGCCTCCCAAAGTGCTGGGATTGCAGGTGTGAGCCACCACCCCCAGCCCATTTTTAGCATTTTTATTAGAACTATAATGAAAGGATTTTCCAGATTACCCCCTTCATAGCTGAATAGCAGAAGGGAAGTGTGAGGGTAAACCCTTAAAATGCAGGTATAGTGGAGGTGTTTCTTGTCTACTTACATTTTTTAATAACTTTTTTACGACAAAGGTAGTACACATAAGGTGTGAAAAGGATATACATCTGGCAGGGCACAGTAGCTCATGCCTGTAATCCCAGCATTTTGGGAGGCTGGGGATCACCTGAGGTCAGGAGTTTGAGACCAGCTTGGGCAACACAGCAAACCCCAACTCAACTAAAAATTAGCTGGGCATGGTGGTACATGCCTGTAATCCCAGCTACTCAGGAGGCTGAGGCAGGAGAATCACTTGAACACGGGAAGTGGAGGTTGCAGTGAGTCGAGATTGTGCCACTGCACTCCAGCCGGGTGACAGAGCAAGACTCTGTCTCACAAAAAAAAGAAAAAGAGAAAAATCAGATAAATGAAAAATCAGGTCATTGTTTTCTAGCTGTCAGAGGATAAAATTGAATTCAGCAAACATTTTGTAACAAAAATTCCTCTTGTAGTCTAGATGAGAAAATAAATGTATAAACTGACAATTTTAAGTAAAACCATAAATTGAGGGGTACTGCTGGGTGTTTTGAGTGACTCAGTAAAAATATTAAGGAAAAAAAACCTGCTTGAAGAGAAACACTGAACAGCCAGCTGACAGAATGAGAGAACGTGTTTTCAATCTATCTATCTAACAAAGGGCTAATCCCAGAGTCTATAAAGAACTTAAACAAATTTACAAGAAAAAAGCAAACAACCCCATTAAAAAGTGGGCAGAGGACATAAACAGACACTTATGAAAAGAAGACACTGTGCAGGCAACAAACATGAAAAAAAGCTTAACATCACTGATCATTAGAGAAATGCAAATCAAAACCACAATGAGATACCATCTCACTCCAGTCAGAATGACGACTATTAAAAAGTCAAGAACAACAGATACTGGCCTGGTTACAGAGAGAAAGGAACACTTTTACACTGTTGGTGGGAGTGTAAATTAGTTCACTCATTGTGGAAGACAGTGTGGCAATTCCTCAAAGATCTAAAAGCAGAAATCCCATTTGACCCAGCAGTCCCATTACTGGGTATATACCCAAAGGAATATAAATCATTCTGTTATAAAGATACATGCACAAGTCGTTCGTTGCAGCACTACTCACAAGAGCAAAAACATGGAGTCAATTCAAATGCTCATCAATGGTAGACTGGGTAAAGAAAATGTGGTACATATACACCATGGAATACTATGCAGCCATAGAAAGGAATGAGATCATGTCCTTTGCAGGGACATGGATGGAGCTGGAAGCTGTCAGTAAACTAATGCAGGAACAGAAAACCAAACACCACATGTTCTCACATGTAGGTGGGAGCTGAATGGACACATGGAGGGGAACAACACAAACTGGGGCCTGTTTGGGGGGGTGGGGGAGGGAGAGCATCAGGAAAAATAGCTAATGCCTGCGGGGCTTAATTACCTAGGTGATGGGTTGATCTGTGCAGCAAACCACCATGGCACACATTTACCTGTGTAACAAACCTGCACATCCTGCAGATAGACCCTGGAAGTTAAAAGTGGAAGAATGCGGGGAAAAAAGAACCTGCTTGTATGGCTTATCCTGTAAGAAATGTGTGGTAAAATTTTGATGGAGGCTGTAAGTGTAAGGATGCTCAGTAGATAATGACTTAATGATCTTTTCTCTGTTAGTTTATTCATTTCTAAACCATTCTTGGCTAGTTTTAGAAAATTATATTAGTAGACAGTTACGGAGCTTAGAAGTATGAATATAAGTTCTCAAATAGCCGTTCTTTATTCTAGGGAAACTATTAAGTTTAGTCAAAAAGGAAAGTTTATCTGGGGAAGGACCAAGGAAAGAGTAAGAGTTGTTGGCCAAGTTTCAGAGTTTTGCTTTCTGCTGCCATGGGGAAGGTTGGCCAGTCTGGGAAGGAAGCATTTGCCATTCTTCCTCTTAAATGACTGCTTATCGCTTTAAAACCCTGTAATGCATTAGCCACCTTACCCAAGTGAGGGCTAGAGCCCAGAACGGATGTTATGGAATAACCCTCCCCTCCCTGCAGCAAACAAAGATCTGAGTCACCCAAGTCTCCTCCAAATAAAGGGCCTTGCAGTGCCTTCAGATTGGCTGCCATAAGAGGAAAGTTTCCTGTGTGTCTGGCAAAGGGAAACCCCATGCCCCCTCTCACATACATGAGCTTCTTCTGCTTCCAAAGGAAACAATAGCTCTACCCAGTGTTTTCCAGGTGAAAGTGCTGCTTAGAACTGAATGTCTTATGACTGGCTGTTCCTGAGCAGCTATTCATAGGAGAAAATGGATTGATTTCCATGGGGGAATAGTTAAGGTAATGAGGTAAATAATTACCTCCTCACAGGGGCTTTTACCAGCCAGAACTTGCAACCACAACCCCACCCCCTTTCCTGTTGTGCCTTCCATTAGGCGGTTTGCATGGCAACTGCACGGGAAGGGCGAGTGCTTAGGAGGGGCTGTGCTGCGCTCACCCCTGTGGGATAGGAACCATTGATAACGTGTGTGTTGCTGGAGGAGAGAGAATTCAGTGCACCGGGCCTTATTAGCCTCTGCTGGAATTTTGGGCCAGTGAGCCATTTGTTACTCTACAATGAAAGGCTTTGGCTGTCTGCCATTTGAATTTTTTTTCAATCCTTTTTGTGGTATCAGTCTGTATAGAATTTTTACTTTCCATTCCTCAGGCACATAGAACCAATTAAAGACTAAATCTAAATCAAATGGACAGGCACTTAAATTATGAACATAAAAGTATTTCTAAAACCTTCCAGTATGCTTATAGTTGAAAAACAGAAGAATGTTGGTGACTACCCCTTTTTTTTTAGCAATGAGCCATGTAGTTAAAAAAAAAAAAAAATCGGCCGGGCGCGGTGGCTCAAGCCTGTAATCCCAGCACTTTGGGAGGCCGAGGCGGGTGGATCACGAGGTCAAGAGATCGAGACCATCCTGGTCAACATGGTGAAACCCCGTCTCTACCAAAAATACAAAAAATGAGCTGGGCATGGTAGTGCGTGCCTGTAATCCCAGCTACTCAGGAGGCTGAGGCAGGAGAATTGCCTGAACCCAGGAGGCGGAGGTTGCGGTGAGCCGAGATCGCGCCATTGCACTCCAGCCTGGGTAACAAGAGCGAAACTCCCTCTCATAAAAAAAAAAAAAAAAAAAAAAAAAAAAAAAAAAAAAAATCTCATTTTTCCTCTCTTCATTTCCCTTATTTTAAAAAAAAAAAAAAAAAAAAAAAAAGCTGGTAGGCCTCAAACTAATATACCCCTGTTCTTCTGGAAACCACTAAAAAAGTTGTTTATTGTTGTAATGATGACTCAGAGAAACCTGGGCAGCAGTGCCAGTTCAGATCATAATGGGCTTCTGTCTCTGAGTCCTGCAGTTGACTTGCCTTCACTTCTAATCTGTGTGTTGTCATTCATAACAAACGCGCATTTTAAAATATTTTACTTAATTTCTAGTTTGCCACAAGTCTTGACATGTTTTCCTCTCTGGATTTTTGTGTCTCAGTGGTGCGGAAACTGAGTTTCCTCTCTCCTGGCGTGTAGGTAAATGGCTGTCTGCTTGACCCTGTGCCTCCTGTCCTGGTACGGAAGGGATGCCAGTCACTGCCCAGCAACATGATGGAGACCTCCATTGACGAAGGGCTGGAGACAGAAGGAGAGGCCGAGGAAGACCCCACTCATGCCTTCGAGGCATTTCAGTCCACGCGCAGTGGGCAGAGACGGCATACTCTGTCAGAAGTGACCAATCAACTGGTCGTGATGCCTGGGGCAGGTACAGTAGAGAGGCAACACCAGGTTGAGTCTTCATGGCGTCATCTCATACTCCAATCACCAACAAGTGGTCATGATGCCAGCCAACTCCTAGAATTGAGTCGATAGTTTATTCCTTTATGGAGCAGATTCAGCAGGCGTAGCAGGCCCAGTCTGGCAGCAGCTATCAAAGGTGATTGAAATATCCGAGTTGGTTCCCGTAGCCCCCAGGACTCATCTGGGTGCTGTATGATTCATCAGGGACTCTGCTCTTTTGGAGTGGCAGAGATCTTACAGATGCCACTTCTGGAGTATTTTCCCCACTAAACTTGAAGATGACTGAGTTGGCCAGTTAAAAAGGCTCTGGAAAGATGTTTTGATTAGAGATTAAGGACATGGTAATTGTCAAGACTCAAGCTGGTTATGCTTTGTACCCTGTGTTCCAAGAAGATACTATTGCTGTTGGTTTTATCTGTTCTGTTTTCTCTTAAAGGGAAAATTTTCTCCATGAACGACAGCCCCTCCCTTGACAGTGTGGACTCTGAGTATGATATGGGATCTGTTCAGACGGACCTGAACTTCCCGGAGGATAACCCTTCCCTTAAGGACATCATGTTAGCCAATCAGTCCTCACCCCGCATGACATCTCCCTTCATAAGCCTGAGACCTACCAACCCAGCCATGCAGGCTCTGAGCTCCCAGAAACGAGAGGTCCACAACAGGTCTCCAGTGAGCTTCAGAGAGGGCCGCAGAGCATCAGATACCTCCCTCACCCAAGGTGAGCACTTCCTCCTCTGCGTTTTGAAACTTGTGTCGTAGGAGGAGGGTTTCTTGCCTTGTTGGTGTGATCACCTAATGATCACTGAAAGGCCTTGTATTTTATTTAAACTGTTTGATCTTTGTACTTTCTTTCAGGAATTGTAGCATTTAGACAACATCTTCAGAATCTGGCTAGAACCAAAGGAATTCTAGAGTTGAACAAAGTGCAGCTGCTGTATGAACAAATAGGACCAGAGGCAGACCCTAACCTGGCACCAGCAGCTCCTCAGCTCCAGGACCTTGCTAGCAGCTGCCCTCAGGTGGGTACCTTGGGCCCTTTCCTTGATGGCTCTGTGAGGATGAGGTGTGAGTTTGTCCTGAAGATGGTCACTTTCAATTAGAGGATTTCCTCCAGTCCTGGAGCAAACAGGTTCTTTTGGGAAACCCACAGCTCCTTTGGTCAGTGGACAGGTTCAACCTATCCTTGCCGCTCCCAAGTGTTTGATACCACATGGAGGCCTGGAAACTCTCAAGCTGTTTTTGGCTCACAGGGCAGAGTATAGATGAGTGACCTCTTACAGTCGCCCTTGAACTCCCCTGTCCCCGCCACACATGCACAAATGAAGAATAATGAACTGCACTCAAATGAGAAGCTTCTCACCACTACTTTTGCTGTGGTATTACTTTAGTAAATATTACAAGTGGATTATTCAGACTAAAAATACAATACTGCTACTTATCTGGTTTTATTTTGAGCCTATTTTCAGTGCATCCAAGAGGATTATAGTTCAAGGCCCACATGAAGGCAATGGCCTCCTGGCGACACCAAGAGCCTTTGCTCTAGTACTGACTAGGTAATTGTTAACTAGAGGTAATACATGCATGAATGTTCTGCAGAGTAACAAGCCCTTAGCCTGCTGGCTCTGTAAAAGCTTTGAGTATTATGTCTTAGGGAGTTGGGATTCCTCTTGGACATTTGCAAAGGTGCTTCAGCTAAGAACTGAGACATTTTTCCCCATGGGGAATTGAAAACTGTTTCCACCCCCTTGCTCCTCAGGAGGAAGTTTCTCAGCAGCAGGAAAGCGTCTCCACTCTCCCTGCCAGCGTACATCCTCAGCTGTCCCCACGGCAGAGCCTGGAGACCCAGTTCCTGCAGCACAGACTCCAGGTGGGGTCCTTCTTCTTGCAAGTCCACCTCACTCTGCTTATCCAGAATCTGTCCTTCAGCAAAACAGAAACCTGTTTTGCCTGGCATTTATTTAGGGTAGCTGCTTGATTCCTTATAGGCAAGTAGGTTTGACTCTGTACTTGTAGTTTCTGGAAACATGCAGATTCAGCCTTATGCTCTGTGTTGGTAGTGGAAAAGGCAGAAAGGCTTTGTCCTCAGGCCCCATGAAGGGATATGCCACTGACAGGTAGGAACGGGAGACCTGGCTTCTTTGTCTCTAATTATATTCCCCTTAATGAGTAATAAATAAAATGAAAATCTTAAGTCTGCAAAATTTCTGCATGGGTTTTCTATGTTGGTGCATAAAAATCTTAAAAAGTGATAAAGCGGCCGGGCGCGGTGGCTCAAGCCTGTAATCCCAGCACTTTGGGAGGCCGAGGCGGGTGGATCACAAGGTCGAGAGATCGAGACCAACCTGGTCAACATGGTGAAACCCCGTCTCTACTAAAAATACAAAAAATTAGCTGGGCATGGTGGCGCGTGCCTATAATCCCAGCTACTCAGGAGGCTGAGGCAGGAGAATTGCCTGAACCCAGGAGGCGGAGGTTGCGGTGAGCCGAGATCGTGCCATTGCACTCCAGCCTGGGTAACAAGAGCGAAACTCCGTCTAAAAAAAAAAAAAAAAAAAAAAAAAGTGATAAAGCATAGATCTTGTAAAGAATGAATCATTCATTCAGTGGGTACTGAGGCTTTCGAGATCTAACTCCACCTTCCTCATTGCTTTTTAATGTCCATGAGCCTCATAGTCCTAGTGGACTTTTGGAAATAGAGTGGATAGTGAAGTAGGTGAGATCTGAGATGGCCCAGGCCTGCTGGCCCAATGCTCTTTCAGGGTCTTGGAGCAAATGTCAGTCCCTTCCCCCATGTGGATTTTGCAGAATACAGTTGGATTCATCCTGCAGGCAGAAGCACATCTGATGACAGCATCCTAGGTGACAGCACATGTCACACGTGTTGTTTTTCTGCTCTTCCAGAAGCCCGGCCTTCTGTCAAAGGCGCAGAACACCTGTCAGCTTTATTGCAAAGAACCACCACGGAGCCTTGAGCAGCAGCTGCAGGAACACAGGTGAGAAGGGGGCTTTGGCCAAAGAATTTGCTTCCTTTTCTGGAAGCCTTGAGAATGCTGAACATGTTGTCCTTTCCCTCTCACATTCGCCACTACTAAGAAAATAGGTTTTCCGCATCTGCCACGAGCATGATTACTCAGAGGATATCTCAGCATCCAAGGAGGACGGCCCGTCAGGCAGTGGCAGCCCTATGGTGTATTTTGTTTTCCTTTTCTTCTGGCATTTCCTCTTTGGGGTATGACTAGCCCCAAGCTTTCACAATCAGTGGCCCAGAGCCACGGAGGTGGGGTAGGTGGCAGAGGAGCCTTCTGTCCTCCTTACTGTCATGTGTGCCATGGGCCTCGCTAGTAGGAGGAGCTTGGCCAAGGTAGAGCTACCCTAATCAGTCCATCAACTGCAGACACTGTATGATTCTCTCCCCTTCCAGCCTCTCCAGAAGGGAAATCACCCTCTCATTGTATAAAGAGAAAAATTTGGAGTTGGAGAAAATGCATTTCTGCTCACATTAGCACGGGAAGGAGCATCAGAACTGGGGGACAGAAAATGAGATTAGGTTTAAGGAAACTCAACACAATGGGTTCCCATTCCCAGTTGTTTTTGCTGACATGAGAAAAAGACACCTAAGTAGAGGACTGAAGCTAGTGACTGGTATTGCATTTGCATTAAAATTGCCATCACTTGGCCGGGCGCGGTGGCTCAAGCCTGTAATCCCAGCACTTTGGGAGGCCGAGGTGGGTGGATCACGAGGTCGAGAGATCGAGACCAACCTGGTCAACATGGTGAAACCCCGTCTCTACTAAAAATACAAAAAATTAGCTGGGCATGGTGGCACGTGCCTGTAATCCCAGCTTCAGGAGGCTGAGGCAGGAGAATTGCCTGAACCCAGGAGGCGGAGGTTGCGGTGAGCCAAGATCGCGCCATTGCACTCCAGCCTGGGTAACGAGCGAAACTCCGTCTCAAAAAAAAAAAAAAAAGAAAGAAAAAAAAGAAATTGCCATCACTTGAGAAGACTTAAAATTCTTTCCTTTGATATTACCAATTTAGGCTCCAGCAGAAGCGACTCTTTCTCCAGAAGCAGTCTCAACTGCAGGCATATTTTAATCAGATGCAGATAGCAGAGAGCTCCTACCCACAGCCAAGTCAGCAGCTGCCCCTTCCCCGCCAGGAGACTCCACCGCCTTCTCAGCAGGCCCCACCATTCAGCCTGAGCCCGGTCCTGGAGCCTTCCTCTGAGCAGATGCAATACAGCCCTTTCCTCAGCCAGTACCAGGAGATGCAACTTCAGCCTCTGCCCTCCACTTCAGGTCCCCGGGCTGCTCCTCCGCTGCCCACACAGCTACAGCAGCAGCAGCCACCACCGCCACCACCACCGCCACCACCACGACAGCCAGGAGCCGCCCCAGCCCCCTTACAGTTCTCCTATCAGACTTGCGAGCTGCCAAGCGCTGCTTCCCCTGCGCCAGACTATCCCGCTCCCTGTCAGTATCCTGTGGATGGAGCCCAGCAGAGCGACCTCACGGGGCCAGACTGTCCCAGAAGCCCAGGACTGCAAGAGGCCCCCTCCAGCTACAACCCACTAGCCCTCTCTGAGATACCTGGACTCTTTGATTGTGAAATGCTAGATGCTGTGGATCCACAACACAACGGGTATGTCCTGGTGAATTAGTCTCAGCACAGGAAGTGAGGTGGGTCAGGTGACGGAAGAGTGTATGTTTCTATTTTTATTCCAGCCTTTTCAATTTAAAGCTTATTTTCTTGCCCTCTCCCTAACGGGAGAAATCAAGTCACCCAATGGAATCAGAGGGCCTGGCTGGGGTGGATGTTGCTTCCTCCTGGTTCTGCCCCACCACAAAGTTTTCTGTGGCAAGTGCTGGAACATAGTTGTAGGCTGAGGTTCATGCCCTAATGTCAAGTGGAGCAAGCTCTCAAGGGAGGCACTGTTCCTAAGAAGACATTCAGACCCAGGTTTTATGCCGGATCACATCAGTTTATCATCAAGGGCAACCTTGGTGAAAGCAGAAAAGGTGTGTGCTATGGCATATATATGGGGGAAAAATGGCAATATATTTTTCACTGAAGGTGAGCAACAACATACTACTATAAGGCAAATCAAGAAGACATCAGGAGATCGGGTGCACAAGGAATCAAGGAAAGCTGTGCTTCGTCATTGAATCCCGAGTTCTTACCTGCTGATGCAAGTTCTCACCCAAGGCCATCACAAACCAGTGGATCGGAGCCACTAAATAACAGCTGGTACCCGAGACCACCTTCATGTCCATTCAGGAGCAGGTGACACACCTCTAAAGAAGGTGCCCTGGGTTGCCGAGTATCAGAATATACTCAGGACTCCAAAGGTGTCACCCGTGGAACTGACAGGAAACCCACCACAGTGGAGGCAGGGGGCAAGAAACTCAAGAAAGCATCAAGAGCACCAGCCCTGGGCCAGGGAAGACGGGCTCTTCCTGCAGTCTCTCTTGGACACTGCTGGCTTGGGGGCAGTCGGTCTCCAGGATACCTGTTGTCTCTTTTCCGATGTAGTAACTACTTTGACCTTACACTATATGTTGCTAGTAGTTTATTAAGCTTTGTGTATTTGGACAGTTTCATATAGGGCTTCGAGATTTTAAGGACACGAAAAATGAACTTTTACGTCCCATGTGAAGTGGTAGTGCTGTGCCTTTCCCCCAGATCATGCTTTAATTCTTTCTTTTCTGTAGAAACCAACAGTTTTCCATTTATGTCAATGCTAAATCCAAAGTCACTTCAGAGTTTGTTTTCCACCATGTGGGAATCAGCATTCTTAATTTCCTTAAAGTTTTGACTTGTAATGAAATGTTCAAGTATTACAGCAATATTCAAAGAACCACAGATGTGTTAACCATTTAAGCAGATCATCTGCCAAACTCGTTATATTACTAATAAAACTTAACCAGTGCTTACAATTCAGTCATCAAAGTAAGTGAAAAATAGACGCTACAGCTAGCTATCCCTAGAAGTGATGAGTAATTTGTCATTTGGCCAGTTAACATCCAGGTGTTACAAATTCAGTGTTAATTCTAAAAATGATGGTTTCTGCCCTTCAGAATGGCTCGTTCCATCAGCAGCTGAATGTGTTAAGCACAAAGCATCTTCTTTAAAGCACATAGAGAGACTAACTGATGCTGCATCTAGAAAACACCTTTAAGTTGCCTTTCCTCTTTGTAGTTAGTGTCTAGGCAGGTGAGGAAGCATGGAAAGCCTAAGGGCAGGCGTCCCCAAACTATGGCCTGCGGGCCGCATGCGGCCCCCTGAGGCCATTTATCCACCCCCCCCACCCCCCGCACTTCAGGAAGGGGCACCTCTTTCATTGGTGGTCAGTGAGAGGAGCACAGTATGTGGCGGCCCTCCAACGGTCTGAGGGACAGTGAACTGGCCCCCTGTGTAAAAAGTTTGGGGACGCCTGCCTAAGGGGTTCCATTCTGGCCATGCGAGCCCAGCCCCTAACAGCGTCGGTAACCAGAGCAGTCCCTGTTCTGGCCAGAGACTGCCTGGTCACCAGCCCTCACCATGGGTGCCAGGACGCTTTGCAGAGGCACTGTGCTCACGGTTGGACTCTGGGTGTCAGTGGGAAAGGGTAGTGTGGGGACCGTCATTTTTGTGATTTAATCACACACAGTGAAAATCCAGGAAGAATGAATTAAGCTCCTTCTGGGAGTTGTTTATTCCTACTCATGCTTAAGATTGATGATTTCGTGAAATAAAGAACATGATTTCATTTAAGAGATCATTTCATTAAGATCTCTAATCTGAGTCTTTGCAAAATAGCCAGTTACAAAATGGGGCTTGATTTGTTTAGACTGAAGGAAGACATTTTCCCAAGATATGCTACAGAAGTGCTGCTGCAATATTTGCGATATTAAAATGCTTTCCAGATTGAAAGTGGGGGCTGCTTATTTCAGAACTGCAGGAATGGTATAGTTATGGCTTGACATAAACTCCTGCCCCCCAACAATGCCATGAGTTGCTTAGTCCAGGAGACCTGGGAGCTAAGGCAGAATGGTTAGGCCGACAGATGAGGGACTGCAGAGAGGCTATTTGAAGGTTAAGGACCCAGAGAGAAATCAAGAGACACCCTGCAGTAGCCAGGCCCATCAGGAACCGTCAGGCATGGCAGTGGTGTGAACACCGGCCTGATGCAGAGCATGATCCCTCCTGCTGGAACCTGTGTTGTAAGCTCCTATTTGCTTATCTCATTTATTTCAAGCAGAAATCAATAAATTCCATAACCCTCTGTATTGACTGCAATGTAAGCTGCTGAGGAGACTGGTTCTGTTGGTCAGTCAGGTGTTTGCTCAGCCCTGTCTGATCACATCTGCTGCCCTGTCCCCAACTAGTGACCCATGGAAGCTTCCAAGCAGTTTTCTCTTCATCAGTACTAATACAACACTAAGAAGGCTTAGTACCACTCTTTCTGCAGGGCTCCTCTGAAGCACTGACTTGCTTTCCAGTCTGTTTCACATGAGCAGTGTGTCCACTACTGTATCATCATCATTAGCTTCGTCATCCTGTAAACCAGGCTCCTCTGAAGAGACTCTGGTGAGATGAACGTGAGGTAAAAATTTCATTCGGCAAGAAGTGCAATATGTGTGGTACTTTATTTTTTATGTTCTTTGTTTTAATCCAGGGGTATTAGTCTCTGCTCTGGGAGAAATGCACTAGCTCTGCAATTTCCAGCTGGGCAAGTGTGTCTCTAGTATTTCCATGCAACTGATATGCTGGCCCCTGTAAGGCAAATAGCACGTTAGCCCGACAGGAAGAGGGGGTCCACTTTCACATTCCCAGTGACACCAACCATCCCCAGCTGCCCCCTCGCCACTCTGCCTGCACTGCCCTCTGCCACCATGGGAACAGGAGGAGGTTGATGGTCTACACCGACCACCTCCAGAATCCATGGGCGGGAGAGCACCAGGGCCCACCAGGGAAGTGGAGCTGGGGCTCAGGAACTGTTCGTGCAGATCTGAGCAAACCCCTTCTCTTCTCCATCCACCTTTGCCTCCTAGGAAAGAAAAAGTCAGTGGCCCTTTCTCCCTCAGAAATCAAGAACTCCTAAGTGTTTAAACCTGTCCTGGAGTCAGTGAATGGGACAGGAGCCCAGGACTGAAGCCAGCCCTCACCTCTCATGCCCCTTCCTGACTCTGGCCCTGGAGTAATGAGGGGCTCTGTGCTTTGATGGGGAGCAAGGGGGAACGCCCTGTAAGAATATCAGCCTCTCTTCTGCCCCCTACCCTCTCCCGTTGATCGAAGGCCCCAGCGGAAGAGACTCCTCCTGAGACCAACTACCCCACCTCCACCCATACACCAAGTGTCATCCATCCTAAAGGCAGGGAAATGCTCACAGAATTCTGCCCATGGGTTAGACGTGGGGAGGATATTCCCAGCTCAAGAGTGATTAGGTGATCAACCAGAAACTAAGGCAAGGTGACAAGCAGCAGCCTTGCTCAGGGTCCCAGGCATGTGGGCACCAGAGCAGCGTTGAGCCACGCGGGCAGTTCAGGATGCAAGGTCAGAGTGAGTGAGCGGTGCTCCTTCTGTGGGTCCTCCAGCCTCTAGTCAAGCCCCAGGCTCGTAAATACGTTTGGATTACATTTTTAAAACCTGTACCAATAGTCACACTTAAGCTCCCGATCGGCTTAAAGAAAATTCATACTCCAGATAACTTTTTCCCATTCAACCTCCTGTAGAGACAATACACAGTGTCATTTCACAGTATTGGTCCCCATGAACAGTGGCTGACCCCGGTGCTGAGTGACTTTTGCTCCACTAGAAACCCCTAAACAGTTGCCTCTACTGCCTCCTCAGAAGCCACCCCAAGCCACTCAGTCTCTCGGTGCCTAGACATCAAAGGTGAAAAGTGGAGATCAGGGAGGGTCATAAGTTGGAGTCATTGTACAGGTAGGGATCTTTGATCATTTTGTTGCTTATGGTTTTTTGTTGTTTTTTTTTTTTTAATCGAGATGGAGTGTCATTTGGTTACCCAGGCTGGAGTGCGGTGGTGCGATCTTGACTCACTGTAACCGCCTCCTGGCTTCAAGCAATTCTCCTGCCTCAGCCTCTCGAGTAGCTGGTACTACAGGTGTGCGCCACTGCATCCAGCTAGATTATGTATTTTTAGTAGAGATGGTTTCACCATGTTGGCCAGGCTGGTCTTGAATTCCTGACCTCAGGTGATCCACCCACTTTGGCCTCCCAAAGTGTTGGGATTACAGGTATAAGCCACGATGCCCAACCTGGAGGTTTTTTAATAAACTTACCTTCAGAGCGATGTATCCTCTGCCTCTGTTTCTAAACTGGACAAAGATTTTCCTAAAGTTTCTGTCTCCCTCCTGGCGGGTTCCACAGTGTGGTCTGAAGCACCTGTGATGTCAGAGTTCTTGTCTGGTTCTTGGTGGCGGATGCACAAAGACAGTGGAGACTTTCACCTCCCAGTAGCCTCTCACGTACTTATTTTCCCATTTTTTCCCCCCAATTAAGGTAACCTGGCTGATTCTCAAGACTAAAGCTGGCTGGGGGTGGTGGCTCACGCCTATAATCTCAGCACTTTGGGAGGCCAAGGTGGGTGGATCACAAGGTCAGGAGATCAAGACCATCCTAGCCAACACAGTGAAGCCCCATCTCTACTTAAAAAAAAAATACAAAAAAAAAAGAAAGAAAGAAAAAATTAGCCAGATGTGGCAGTGCACGCCTGTAGTCCCAGCTACTCAGGAGGCTGAAGCAGGAGAATTGCTTGAACCCGGGAAGTGGAGGTTGCAGTGAGCTGAGATCGCACCACTGCACTCCAGCCTGGGGACAGAGGGAGAATCTGTCTCAAAAAAAAAAGACTGACAGCTATCCTAGGTGCACCCCTCATCTCCGGGCACGTTTCAACACATCAGCAGACTCAGGCACAGACTGGGGCACAGATAGAGAACTGGGCAGCAACACTGCCTGCAGACTCACCCAGGGAGAGCTTTGATGGGTTCTGGCAGATACTCCACCTGCCCACCCACAAGGGAGCAATAGCGTGTATTTGTACATTAGTTTTACCAAACACCTTCATAAGCAATCTCTTCTAATCTCACAACAATTCCATACAATGAGTTGGGGGAGATAATGTCCTTATTTTTCACAGCTGAAGAAACCAAAGCTCTTGGAAGTTTGTGACTTCTCTGAGGTCACAGCTGGTGAGTTGAGGAGCTGGGACAAATGCTTGGCTTGACTGGCTTCTGGGTTTGGTGCTCTGCAAGAAGCCCTCTCTTTCCCCTCTTTCCTCAGTAGCATCTGACGCTTTTCACAAGCAAACAGCTGTATAAACAAAGCCCCCATTTTGGTCAAGCACAGGGTGGAAGTGACATTGTTCCTACAACCTTATTCTCTACTCAACAGCCACTTGGCTTTGGGGGAGAGGCCGCCTTCAGGTGACAGTGCAGCTGTCCAGGTGGCCATGCACTGAACCAGGCTGAGAGAGACAAAGACCCCACAGAACCACCTGCCCGTGAGCATCCAGTTAACTGCAGAAGTTTAGACTCACCTCAAAGATGTCTACTTTTTCCGTTACAATATAGCAGTTTGCTACAGAACACGCCCCTCCTCGATTGCCAAGGAGCCCCATTGCATGGCATCGGGCCACCACTGCCGGCCAGCAGATTCCACCCCAGGAACAGTCATGAACTCCGCCTTTGTCTCAAGGAGGGGTGAAACATTTCCTTACAGTCAAGCCCCATCAAACAGAAGTGCTTATTAGATACTTTTAGGATTAAAAAAGTAATAACAGACTTTGACTTAATACTGTCCTTTCAGAGGCAAAGGGAGTGAGTAGGGTAAGCTTTAAAAATAGAAGTTCAAAACAACATCCTGGAAACATATGACCCCAGACGGAATAATGTCGCATTCCCCTGTGCAGATAACTGGGCTGCTGCTGGCTCTCTGGTGCCTGTCTGCTGAAGATTTGCTCAGTCAAGGAAATTCAAGTGGTGAGACCTCTCCACCACGGGTGGTAAAAGAAACCTGCCTTCTCCAAAATCTCTGAAGGGGAAAGAAGCAGAGAGAAAGGGGACTGCAGTTTGAGAAATAAAAGGGATACAGAGATATTTGCACTTTGTAGAAAGGGCAAGATTATTTGCGTTTATCTGAAGGGAGGATGTTTGGTCTTAAAGAGTTACTTTTGATAAAGTTAATCTAATTGTAGTTATTTTTTGTGTGCTTTTTTTTTTAATTACTAAGAAAAAAATTGGTGAGTTCAATAGCTTTGGTATTTTGAGTGCAAATCATAATAGCTCCAATGTGACAACAAATCAAAAGTGTAACCTGTTCAATGTTAGAAAATTACCTAAAATGCAGTGTAATAAATAATCTTTGTACCAAATGGTAATTTAAATGGGGTATTCTGCAAGGAAAATGTACTGTTTTTATGTTTCCAACCCTCTTGAATTAAAATAAAAACAACTTGTTTTCTAAGAGCCTGGGTGATGTGAATGTCAGGCTAACAAGATAGGGCTTCCGCCTCATCGGGCCTTGGGTGGAATTTTTAGAGTATGGAAAGGGGCTGTGTTCTCTGAGCTCTGGTGCTCATTTCAGGCTGCAGAAAAGGACAGTGGATAATATGTTCTCATTGACGTCAGCAGGGTAAATAATACCTTGCTCCGAATCGCCTGAGTACACGTTAGCCGCTGCAGATCGCTGACGGAAGCACTGCTAACCGCAGCCTGCACAAGGACAGGGCCCCGCTGGGCACTGCTTAATTACTGCTCCTTGATTCTCAGAGTCCCAAGGCAAAGCCCATTGGCCCAGGTAGTCTGGGCAAGGGCCTCGTGCTGCAGTAGGAGGAAGGGCGGCAGATGCACAGGGCTCTCTCGTGGGGCTCTCCAAGGACAGGCAGCTGCAGAGCAGGGGATGGAACTGGGAGGGGGGTACTGCGAGCTGCCAGGCAAAAGACTCTGCTACTTAGTCAGGATGTCACATCTTCTCTGAGGTCTGCCAAAGGCCTCGACACCACACGCACAAGCGCACGCGCGCGCACACACACAATGCACTCCCTCACAGGCACAAGCACCCTTTTTGAGGCCCAGCTCCGTGCCCTCAGGGTGCGGGAGACACCATAAGCCATGCTGCTCTCCTGCGTCCTGGACCTGTTTCAGTGCCAGGCCCAGCGTGAAAGGCCACTGTTACATCCAGCTTGCTGGCAGCAGGGTCTTGACTGAAATTTGGTTTCGCTAACACCATTTCAACTGAGCCCATGCCATAGAACTAAGACAGTGCCCACCCTGTGGGGTGGCGGTGGGAGGGTGCAGTCGGCAGGGCCCACACTGCCAGAGGCTGGCAGGAATGGAGCCTCACTGACTTCCACTACTGCCAGGCTCCACTGACAGTCGCTCAGTCCTGCCTTAAACTGGCGGTTACCCCTCGGCTACCCAAAATTTCAGTATTGCTGAGTTTCATTTCTTAAGGAAAGCACTAAATTTCCATAACGATGTTTTGCAGACTTTTTCCTTTCCCACCAAATTTCTCCATTCTCATTCTGTGTTGCCAAAAACAACTCCAGTGCCCCAGGACGCAGGCAAAATAACAGACCAGCGGCCAGCCAGGCCCCAAACCCGCACTCCCCAGGACACCCTTCAGTTCTGCGGCCTTTGTGAGTCGAAGGCTCCACCAAGGTGGGGAAGGAGAGCCGCAGGGAGGCCTCTACCCTGTGGAAGGAACCGTCCGGCAGAGCCTGCACTTCCCAAATCCTTCATCACGATGCAGGA